ACAGTTTCTGAGAACATTCATGGACTAGATTTTTAGTGTAAAAAGTGAAAAATCGTAATAATTCCCGACCGGAAGTAAATTTTTCCAAACTTTTTCAATATTTCAAAATGGCATGAGATAACAAATCATTCCTGAAAATTTGGCTGAAAATGAATGAGTAGTTTTTGAGATATCGCGATTTGAAAAGGTCAGAAAAATAAAAATGAAAAATAATAATAATAATAATAATAATAATAACTAGATGCGATCTCGTTGCGAGCAACGAGTGGGTCTCCCGTCCGATTTTTGATAAGATGAAATAAGAATTTGACTGAGACTTTAGTTCAAATATAATGATATAAATAAATTGTTAAGACAAACAATTTTGCTTCAGTAATCTATAACAAAATGTTGATCATTAAAGATTATAGATTAAAGACTTTCTGTCCGTCTTGGTCCCTATTTTGAGGGGCCAGCCCTATTTTCTTGATATCTTCTTACAGCTCTCATGATTTTGAACACTTTTTGTTCAACAACTATTCTAAAATTCGAGATATCTGCAAAAGAAATAATAGGGGCCGGCCCTTCAACTCCTTAATGGGAACGTTTAGCAAAAATTGAAAGGTAACATATTGTTCAGAACATTATTGTGAGCATCTTTTATTCAATATTGCTTATCAAAATATTTCCCACTTTCGAGATATAAAGCGTCAAAGATTTAGCATTCTGGCCCCTAATGTCCCCTTATAACGTCAAAGATTTAGCATTCTGGCCCCTATTGTTCCCTTATAACGTAACATATGATGCCAACAACATGTTATATAGTTAAAGAGGGTGAAGATGATCTATTCTGCCTTAGTAATGTATTACAAAATATTGATCGTTTAAGAGTTATTGATGAAAGACTTTCGACCCCTTATTTTGAGGGGCAAGCCCCTTTTTCTTGATATCACCTTAAAGCTCTTATGATTTTGAACACTTTTTGTTCAACAACTATTCAGAAATTCTTTTTCGTTTCCGAGATATATGCAAAATAAATGTTTAGGGGCCTGCCCTTCAACTCCTTAATGGAGACGTTTAGCAAAAATTGAAAGGATACGTATTGTTCAGAACATTATTGTGAACATCTTATATTCAATATTGCTTAGCAAAATATTTCCCACTTTCGAGATATAAAGCGTCAAAGATTTAGTATTTCGGCCCCTCATTACCCCTAATTATGTAACATGTGATGTGAATAACATAATATATAGTTGTAGCTTGCTCAGATAAACATTTTTGCTGCAGTAATATTTTACAAAATATTGATCGTTAAAGAGTTATTGACGAAAGACTTTCGGCCCCTATTGGCCCTGATTTTGAGGGGCAGCCCCTTTTTCTTGATATCACCTTAAAGCTCTTATGATTTTGAACACTTTTTGTTCAACAACTATTCAGAAATTCTTTTTCGTTTCCGATATATATGCAAAAGAAATATTTAGGGGCCAGCCCTTCAACTCCTTAATGGGGATGTTTAGCAAATATTGAAAGGTTGCATATTGTTTAGAGCAATATTTTGAACATATTTTGTTCAATATTGCTTATCAAAATAGTTCCCATTTTCGAGATATAAAGGGTCAAAGATTTAGCATTCTGGCCCCTTATGGCCCCTAATTATGTAACATATGAGATTTTTTTTTATAATGTATAGTTGTAGATTGTTCAGATAAACATTTTTGCTTTAGTAATGTATAACAAAATATTGATCGTTAAAGAGTTATGGATTTAAGACTTTTTGCCCCTTTTGGCCCCTAATGTGATGAGTCAGCCCTTTTTTCTTGATATCATATAAAAGATCTAGTAATTGTACACAATTTCTGTTCAATATGTTTTAAGAAAATATTCATAGTTTTGAAGATATGATAAAAAATGTCTCGAAAATTCACTCCTGATTCATGTCCTAAATTTCGACCCCTACCGAGCTTCCATACAAGGCACTTCCAGGAAATTTGAAAACTGAGGTGCACAACTAGGACATGTCCTCTATTATCACTGAAAATTTCAGCACTCTAGCTTTTGTCGTTTTTGAGTTTTTGTGTAGACAAAATGGTCACTAAAAATTCGATTAAAGGGCGATAACTTCCGACCGGAAGTGAATTTTCAAAAAATAAAAAATATGAATAAGGTTTAGATCATGATACATCATCTCTGAAAATTTCAAGTGAATCCATCCAACCATCTCTGAGAAATCGTCTGCACAAAATTTGGACAGAAAAAAATAATAATAATAATAATAAAAGTGAAAAAGAAACAATAGAATAATAGAAGGGTCTTCCGTTGGAGACGGAAGACCCTAATAATAAGAAACAGTAGAATCACTATAGGTCTTCCGTTGAAAACGGAAGACCTAATAATAATAATAATAAGAAACAGAGTAAAAACAATATGTTCCCAAACTCCGTTTGGGGAACATAAATATCGAACACGTACATATGTCTGTCTGTCTATCCTCGGGACGTATGAAAAAATTGAAAACAGATTGAATAAAAATTTAGGAAAATGTGCTCAGTATCGAGGAAACAAGAAAAGAGATGTGATTTTTAAGCTCTATTAAGTCAACCAAGAGCAAGATATCCCAGAGAGTCACGAAAGATTTCCTTTCTGTGCCTTTTGTCAAGGTGATAATTCATTTAGAATTGCTGGCACAGAATCGGTCCAAGAATGCAAAATTTCTTTCCCAATTTTGTCAATTTTTATTAATTCTTAATTAGAGTAAGATAATGCAATAAGAAAAATTGGATTTGAAACTAAAAGGTCATTTGGTAAATTATGCCTGCCTGTGACTTCATGTAGAAATTTAACAACATGACATCTGAATTATTATATGTACATACTACTCACCCTACTTAACACATACAAGTTACTATAATCTGCAGAACTAAGCCTATTCAAACAATATGTCGACAGAACGAAGTGCATGTATGTACTATACGCATGTAACATACGCGCGGCATTATAGTCTACGATCTGTCAAAATAAAATTTATTGAAAAGCTACATTTCTGCAGCTAACAAGTCACAGGACACATTATCTACACCTGTTTGAGATTTGATTTTGTCTACACATATCAAAGTTCACATCAAATAACTGCAGTTCTAGACAGCAGCCTGACAAAAGGGTGCAATTCATTTGCCTGTAAATCGATATTTTATTTCAATATACTTAGTATTTCATCGATTAATGGAATAGAGAATTAAACCTGGTAATCAGGGTTTGTTTGCACTTAATGAGAATGAATGTGTTTAAAAATGATAAACTAGGTTGGGGATTAAAGATTTAGGCTGAGGTTTTTATCGCCTACTTTCTCTGTTGGTCACCTTTATTTTATATTAAAGACCAGAAATGAAGGCCAACGAATATTAAGGTCAGTATAATATCTAAATTAAATACATTTAATTGGATTTAAAAAGTTATGTTTTCAAGGGAATAGTAAATTCTCTCTCTCTCTCGCTCGATCTCTCTCTCTTTCTCTCTCTCGTATATAGTGAAATCCAGATTAATTGGTTAGATAATGTAATCATTTTTTTTTAATGGATTCACTATTTTTATTGCTTAATTGTTTAAATCCCATACCTTCAATACACGACCCCACAGTCTGCACGGAATGTTGAATAAGTAATGCGGTCGTCTTTCCAGTGATAAATAAATATATACATTATTTATCCCTAAATGGATTTACAGCTCTCGTGACTTCTACCTTCCTGTTCAGATAGTCCAATTTAACGAATGTGATTCCGACAAATCAAATGAATAATATATAAATGGCAGAAAACTGAGTTAATTAAAGTACACGTATATACTTATATATCATCTGAATTTGTACCGTTTGTATAAAGGCTAATCGTCATATACAAGGTAGGAAGGGTTTAGTCATATGTAAATTGTTAGCTATTTTTAAAAGAAAAAAATTCAGGATATTTTATTAAAAAAAATCTACATGAAAAGAATATGCATTTTTCTGATATATACTTTCTATCAATAAAAATTGTCCATTTAAGTTCAGTGCTAAAGCAGCCTTTTATTAATAATAAACAAAAAATATATCAGAAAGAAAAATGAATTATGCTGGGGTAGCATATATTATTACCTGGGATCGAGGTTTTTTTTTTTATCTGATGATAGGTACGTCAAAACATTTTAGAAAAACAAAACATCAGCATTAAGTAAAGAATAAACGTAATTTAAAGTATTGACCGTGCTACTTAATGTCCATTTTAAGGTTAACACACAGAATGAAAAAATCGATTTTAAAAAAGCAAGAGATTTTAAAGTTTCTTAACATTCCATGACTTTAAAGTAATACAATGTACATGAAAAGTTTTCTATTGTAAGAATTACACTTGCTGTCAGAAGGGCATTAAGAAACAGACTGTCGATGATTTTTTTTTCCTCTCTTTGAAATCAGTGTTACAAGTAATCATGTTTTGGGTCGATGTTTGCGTATTAACTGAAATATGTTACGCCTTGGTATTATTTTTGTTGTAAAATAAAATCAAGTTACACTTTACAAGACGTCTTACATCGACAAAATCATTATCTTTTTTGAATTCCTGCATGTTGTACACAATTAATATTTTTATCAATATTCCTTTACAATGGAGGGAAAAGTAAGTGCCTCCACGAGAGTTTGTTATACATCTTTGACTTTATAGCCTTTGAAGAGCATGAATAGAAATAATATTAACGCTCCAACAAAGTTTATGTTACCAATTTTAAATTTCGATTCATGATCTTGTGGACGGTATTTGATTGCTTTCGTTATGTTGGCTCTGTAGTGGCTACACAAAACCAGCAATCGTAAACAAGCAATATACCACTCCAGAATTGATCTTCTTCAATACATTTGTATTGAATCGTATTGGAAAGTATGTCAAATACAAGCTATTTTGGAGAGCGTGGTATTTTTAGACCCCCTACTCAGGATTATAAAATTAATCTTAAAAAGATTAACGTTGTAAAATGAATTTCTCTTCCAGTAACAATTATGGGCAGATAGTCATTTTCTTTTGAACTGGAATGACGGTGTCCCAAAGGAAATAGAAAGATGCAACATATTAACAAGGAATTTAAATTACAGGTAAGTTTAAATATACGCGTATCAGGCCCGTAGGAAGCAAAATCAGTTAGGGAGGGGGGAGCAAAATCAAACATTTTCAGTTTGGGGGCACTACTATAAATTCCTTGACAAACGAGCAAAAAAAAAAAGAATGTCATCATGTTATCAGACGTTATTGAAGAGGGGACAAAAGCATTTACTGGCTATGTTTTCTATAGTATTCTATATATCGGCAAATTTATTGAGGGGGGCCCCCTGTTCTTACGGAATGCTTATCACGATATTTAGAAAACATTAAAAAATAAATAAATAAATTTATAAAACAATACTGAATCACTATTTGATGAAGTATGTATGGGGGGTGGGGGAATTTCAATCATTTCGCTGAACTCTTGAATGTGTATGTGTGTATGGGGGATTCTCTTTATTAATTGGACACGGAGTGGATCTGAGAAGGGATGTATAGGAATTTTATGTACTGGATTGACCAAGTACAGTGTACAGGGCCAGATATATTGATCAATGGCCGCTGCATTGCCTCGATCGATCTCTCATTAAGCGCCTGCTTAAACTATTATCCATGACTCTGTAAAGGTTTACTGATGAAATTCAGTTAAAGCGCTTACATTCGTAAACACATCGAGTTCTGTATTGATCTTTGGAAATTGTTGAATAAGTTTAATACTTTAAAACTAGACCATCCCCGTAAATATTGCAATAAAAGTTGACAAATTTAAATTTACGGCTCGATTCTACAAAACAATGCCGAGGAAGGTATATGGATAGGAAAAACTAACTTTATAGATTTTCTTTAAAAGCAGACAAATTCAAAATCTTATAAAAGGAGAATTATCATGACTTTCACTAAATTTTCGAGTGTAAGTGCCAACTTCATTTTCATCCTTTATATAAGTACACAACAAGCAATTTCAAAAGATATCGACATTTTAGCTCTGTATCAGTCTGGCTGCATCAATTGACATTTTATATAATGCACTAAATGTTACTTTTTTCATTCTAAACACCCATTAATTACTGTAATTACCGCATTGTAATATCCTCCTTCGACCAGCAGCTAGTGTACAATCTTATCTTTTAGCATTTGTAACAAAATTCCAAATGCTATTGTCATTGCTATTGAAATATCAGTATTGATTAACTAAAACATTAAATGTAAAACACATGTCAAAGAGTAATGAATTCCTCTATTTTTCTTGTTTCAGTGTTGGTTATCTCGGATCAGCGCTTCCGTTTAAAGATCGCTGATATCCATCTTTGGTATAGGCCATGCTGTGTTTGTGCAATACTTATACCGTGTTGGATTGACAATGGAAGGTGTTAACACGAGCAGATTGCCTCCGATTGTACGGTTCCAGGTCGGCGGGTTTGCCACAGAGAGGGAGCCACCGGAGCGCAGCTGGGCCAGGATCCGGACATGCCTGATCGACAATCCTCGAGACTCAGGCCAAAACAAGAGGCAGGAGGTCTGGTCTTACCATAAAAAGAACAGGGGTGTTTTAAGGTCGTTAGTGAAAAGTTTACCAAATATTCCGTTCCGAATAGGTAAAAATAAGAAAAGACGAAGCCAGTCGGATCACGAATTGGCTTCGAAGAATGAGAAAAGTGAATCATTTCTTCCGAAGATTTCCCCAGTTGGAATTGAATCGCCGACGAGAAATGGAAAAATACGACCCTTAGGAACGGTGAATAGAAGTGATGACATCATTCCTGTAGGAAAACAGAAAAGTCAGAAGAATTTAGAAAACAGTGCAATACGATTTACTTCAACAGACAACGTAAATAGTATTAGTCCTGATCATGTGAAGGAATCTAGAAGAACGGACGACCGAGAAAAGTCTGAGAAAAGTCTCAGTAAAATAAAAAGTGAATCTCGCTTGCCTAGATTACCTGTACTAAAACAACCTCTTAGCAAGTCTAGGGTGGTTTCTTTCTCTACAAACGATTTGAACAATTCTCCAAAAATAATTGACAGCAGAAGTGATTCGCCGTATTCAGATGCAAGTGAGACATCAGAAAATTCCACAAAGGGTTTTGAAAACGTGAATTACGGGCATTCTAGTCAGCATACTACTGAACCAATTCAGAGGTCGCTACTTGATATTATAAACGGTAACCATTTATCCGACGCACGAATGATGGGTGAAAGGGCAAAAAAGGAGAGAAAAACCGGAACCGTGGAGACGGCAACTTTTCCGGGTGCAGATGTGGACAAGGAATGGTTTGAGAAGGTGTTGGGTGATAAGGAAATTATTGACATGTCTAATTACGACAATTTCGCTAGAACACCTAGAACCCGACCACTTGGGGAGTCCATGATGAAGGGTCAAAATGTTCTCAGCAGCAGTAACTACCCAGAACAGAAACCACAGACTGTCACTTCTCGAAGTCCTCTGAGAGTACAGTTTGATCTCCCCTCTGAGGAAAAGTCCCCTGTGAAACCAACAAATACAGCTCCGGTGACGAAATTGGCAGGAGAACCAATTGCAGGCTTTCAGAGAACAACTAATTCACCCAGTTATTTCCCCTTGTTTAGTCGAGATGGATTACCAATGCGCAGAATCGGTGGGCCATCTAAAAACAAACAACAGTCGTCCAAATTAAAAATATCATTTCCCAACAGTGAACCAGTGGAAGATAATTAAAAATTTACATTTGTAAATAGCAGTTGTTGAATTGTTTATTATTGTATACAAACAATACATGTATAACTACTATTGTTCTCTCATAAATTCTTTACAATATACATTTATTGACTGGGTTCGAGGGCAACATACGTTTTGTCGGACCCAAGAACCAAACTGTTTGCCTTAGGCCTTTAGGCCGAAGGCAAACAGTTTGGTTCGAGGGGTCGACAAAACGCATGTTAACCAAGAACACAGTCAATAAATGTTTTGTTATACCTTTTATTTATATATTTTATCTTTTTTTTGGACATACATGTATGTCGAACACCAATGAATGCAAATGAGATTTAGCTGACCCCGCCCATTATGTGATGTAAGCGGTCCAACATCTCATCGACAGGTCCAATATCTCACTTCGCGGTCAAACATAGATTTTTTTTATGCCCGCTCAGTAAAACATTGGAAATGTTAGACTTTTATTAGTATTAATTTATATAGGAACAATTTTTAAAGGTATAATATTACATCACAAAAATCCTGCCTGTATTATTACTGTGTCCAAAAAGAATTTGTTTAATTGTATCTACTAATAGAATTTTTATCGAAGATTTTATAGAAATTATGATATATTCAGGCATTAAACATAAATTATGGGTAAAACGATATTTGCATTTCTTTTTAGAATAATCACGGCTCAATAAAGATCTTTTTCATATAATTAATTTAATCAAATTTCCCCAAACGCCAGTTAAGAATTATAGTTGATTGATTTCAGAGTGGTGAAATTTTAAACTGCGTTTAAATCAAATGGTTATTGATTTTTAAAGCTTAAATCTGTTTTATACATAATAGAAATGCGATTTCTTTTGAAATCTTTTCGGAAGAGAATGATTAATTCACGAATTAGTATTGCCCATCATATGAAAAAAATCTAAACATTGTAAAATCTTACTTTCCTCCAAATAATGTTGAAATATCAGTACAATTTTTAAGTAATTTAACGGAAAAACTATTAAATAGGACTTTGAATTATTTTTACTTGAAAAATTACGATACCCATTGTAGAGAATTTTATAAAAGTGCAGTGATTATATGAATGTTCTTCGTGCTAAAAGTTAGCACAAGCAAAATGCAAAACTGTAGTACACATACTTTTATTATTAACACATCCCACAACCAAGTAAATATTGAGGTGGCAGAGGACAGGTTTGGCTGGTATTTTTCCAAAATAATGAACAGGCCCCACCATAAACTGAGAACAGACTTTAATTAAGTCAAACGGATGACTGCACTTAAGGACATGCGAAAATTACTTTCAAAACAAACATCATTCTTTTAATTGCAGGAATGGTCATCATCAAATCTACAACTTTACGTTATTGCATTTAATAAAAGTATGTATTTACGAAGTGCGAAGCTGTTTTCATATGCGGGGGTCGTCACACTTTCTTGAATCTCCGAACGATAATTAGTACGCCCACTTTTTCACAGACTTCATACATAGTCAGCGCATGTTTGTCTATTGTTCTCCGTTCAACAGTAGTTGTATATTTGCATAAATAAAGCTGTGTCAAAAGGAGATTAATAGACAAACATGCGCTCATGGTTTAAAAGAGAAAAAACTGCTTTTTCTTACATTTGCTCTCTCTGTTGTAAGCAAGGGTTTTGGCATGTTTTAAAATAGCGATTCTCTGTAACCACTTAAACTTCTTTGCCACGCATGGTCACCGATTTTGATGAAACTTTGCCCATTATTACAACTTGACACCAGAAACATATATCAAATAAAATTTCGTTGCTATTTGTCTTGGTTGCCATGGTAACAGTCAGAAAAATTGAAAAAATTGAGATTTTCAGCTACTTTGGATCTTTATTAAGCCTTAATAAAGAGTAAGGAAAACAAACAAACTATTCTCACAAAAACTTGACACCTTGTCGCCACTTATGCTATAAAGAAACTATTAAGAATTTATCTCTAAGTAAGTGGTAACCATGGGTACATTTGGAATACATTTTAGATGCTGAAAAATGCTGAAAAACGCTCAATATTCACTAATGATAGATGTTACATGATCAAACTCATCAACAACCAAAGAAAAACAATAAAAATATTTGACCTTAAGTAATTAGGTATTGGCAATATTATTCTAAAAATAACTTTGTATGGTTGCCATGGTTACACAGTGTATCCATGCAAAATCTGTTGCTAAGATTGGGTTAATGCTACTATCTTGAGGAAAAACAATAAAATTCATGACTGGCACATATACATCCTTAGGACCTTGCAACACCGACAACCTAAGAAAAATTGGGATTAATTGTTACTTTGCAGTGTAACCATGGAAACAACGTACCAGTTGTTTAAAGTGATATTTTTTTGCTGCTTTAGGAATTTACTTACCTTTTAATCAAGAAACATATTATTTGACTCACCTTGAATAGTATTTATCAGGTAGAACTAAAGTTGAATATCATATATTGATAAAGTTTGTTGAAAAATACAACACTGTTGCTATGGTTACCAAGAAGGGAAAATGCTCGATTTTGTTAATTTTATATCAATATTAAATCCTATGTGCAAGCTTTTTGCATTCAGTTAGAGATTGGGTGGTAGTCAAAATTGAAAGTCAAGCTAGTTGTTCATTTATATCAAACATAAAAGTTTTGGGAATCTACATACAAGGGTACGTATCCAAGGAAACAGAATATTTTTTAAGATTTTTATGCATATTTTTCCGGCTAATTTCCATAGCAACGCTCTATTTAAAGAATTGAATTTGAATTTTTTGAAATGTAAAAATTAGGGTCACACCAACGCCTTTAAAAATTGATCATCAGTTATATAGAAATATGCTTTTTAAAAAGATAGGATAAGATTAAAACACGAAGAGAGTAAGTTTAAAATCCCATTGTGGTATTAAAACCATGGCAACCATTGCCAACCTATAAGAAATATCATATTTCGTCCTTGGTATATGTTACAAGGATTTCTTGTCTATTATATGCTTGCATTTCAACCTATAATTACTTTTATTTTTAAGTGTATGACTTTATAAAATTAAATGAACAAAATTATTACTTTTGAATACTTTGTTTCCATAGTAACGTATGTAATAGTTGATTTACCAAACATGTTTATCATGCATTTAAGACATCAGGCCTTCAACTTTCAGAAACAGTCATTGCCACTTGTTTGCTTTGCTGCAAACATTAACTGTGGGACTCTGAACATGTGGAAAAATGCCATTTTTCAAACTTTAGGACATGTTGCTATGGTAACCATGACACGTAGCAACCAATTTTTGCCTGATTTGAGTTTACGTTATCAAAGACTTTTATCATAGAGAGTTTGGATAAATTCTGAGACTATGCGTGCCACAGCTCCTATATAAAAGTTAAAGTCATTACAGAGAATGGCTCTTAAATATTATAATTTACCACGTGATTTCTTATCTCGGGTAACTGTGGATACTAAAGTCCGTCACGTGACTTGCAAGGTAGCATGTGCTCTTATTGTTGAAACCTTTGTGTACTTGTGCCATACAGAATAAAGGGGGAGAAGGGAAAGAGTAATCTCGTATTTTTATACATGCCATTGTTATTTATCTAGTCTAAATTTAGAGCCATTCTTACAATGTTAGCTCCACCTCTCATGAATACCGAATGTTTAATCAACGGCAGGTGAGTGTAAATTCTCTATATATGGAAAGCAGTAGGGACAAAAAACATATAATTATTTAATTGTATCACAGTCTAAAATCATTTTAACATTTAAATTTGATGCCAAATTGACAGAATTCTTGAGTAAATATGCCAAAGTGAAATAAGGTTAAGATTTAAAAGCAACGGAAGCGTCGGGAAAAGACCCAAAACCCAGCGTTAAGTGCAGTTATCCTTTAATATTTACATTCGCAAATGTTTTCTTTTATATAACACTATTAAAAGCAACACGTATCTATATCCGTATAAACACGGGTTCCTCGCGTCATAAACGTTCGACATAATTTCTCAGTGACGTCATAAAGGGTTGACGCGCAATCAATGGATCAAATACGTGCCGTTGAGTTTGAAAAATAAAACATTTCACACGTTTAAAAACTTATAATCAGGAAAATATAAAATATGAATAAGTCATAAATGTAAATATAAGTAATAATGTATCATTTTTAAACATCTATCGGGATATAAATACGGGTTGGTACGAGATCAAATTTACCAGGGCTTTATGGAATTTGATCTCGTGACCAACCCGTATTTATATCCTGATAGATGTTTAAAAATGATACATTATTTCTTAAAAATCAGTATAACTTTTGATATTTAATAATGACACAAAAAACTTAAACTTTCTACAAATATACAAACGTTAAATAAAAGTCAAGATATTCAAAATCAAAATTTTGACTTAAGTCTGTTCTCAGTTAATGGTCCTGGATGTAAAATGTGTATTTGAAAATTTAAATCCTCTATACATGAAGCAATAACATGTTTTAATCCCTTAAGAAATCTGAAGCTTTTAGGAATAAAACAAATAAAACTTTCTACTTTGTTGGTTTTCGGAACACGAGATAATGATTAAGAGGGACTGACGGGGGCATTCGTATGGCGGGGTACGGTTAGAGGTGAAATTCTTGGATCCTCGCCAGACGGCCTACAGCGGAAGCATTTGCCAAGCATGTTTTCATTAGCCAAGAACGAAAGTCAGAGGTTCGAAGTTCATATGGAGCCCAAATTTAGCCTATTTTTCACTATTTCACCAGATCCGCAACAACTTACAGGCCCTTGGTAACTGGATAATGCGCTCCGCTACCACACAAATGCAGTCCAACACTGAACAGCAAGAGATGTTGACTCAACTACCTTCCTTTCAAGCTACATCTCATCCCATGAACCCATCCCGTTTTTCTGAGGAAATCCCGGATGAGTAATTTTTGGCGTTAGTTTCGTATTTCCAATCCAAAACCTGTAAATGGAAGTGGTAACACTAAAGAATCATATACATGTATCAATAAAATGTACAAGACCAATCTAATTA